GACGTGACATCATCGGGGGAGGAGCGGCCGGGTCCCGGCCGCGGCGGCGGGGCGGACCCTGGCGAGTCGGTCACGGGGGCTGGGGGCTGCGGCGTGCTTGAGGCCTCCGGAGGGAGCTGGAGGGGCTGGCAGGGGCCTGGGAGGCCCGAGCAGGGAAGATCAGGGGCTTCGCGGCGAGGGAGCCCAGCCGCAGCTAGAGGAGGATCGTGCCACGCCGCACTGAGGAATCTTTACTGTTTCCCTGTCGCCACCGGACGAAGCTCCGGCGTCTTCGCAACCTGATCTTCTTCCCCAAGTGCCCGTTGCACTCTCCACGTTGACGCCTTGTTACTGGACTTGCTTTTCTTTTTGACGCCTCGAATCCTTTAGTCTTACTGTTTTGTTCATCGCCCGCATTTCCCCTGGCCAACCTGACCTCAGTTTAACCTCAGCCTAGGACTCTAACCTCCTCGCATTTTAGACTGAAACCCTCGACAGGCTGAGCAACTAACTCTCCCCAACCCCCATTCCTATTTACTGCCCCTGGGCCGTCTAAACTTAACAGCGTTTCTGTTTTCAACCTGTGCCGTTAAGAAACCTCTTGATTTCTGGTCACAAGCGTTTAGTGTTAGGGTTGGGAGCCCCGCTCAGCTCCTCTTTCAGGTCTCATCCTCCCTTTGTTAGTTTCATGTCTGCCCTTGACCCTGGGACAGAGCCTTTTCTGCCTCTTTTCACATTCTGGCTTAGTGGGTCCTGGTCAGGCTTTGAACAAGCACACAATGAGTCCAGCACTTTCCTGCCCCTGCCTGTTGCTCTCAACCAAGAGGAGGGTGTCACTTTCCCTCTTTGAGGGACCCTCCAAGTGTTCAGTTCTAGTACTGCCACCTTGGCCCAGATGTAGGGTCTCAGAGGTGCTGCCTGATCTCCCACCATCCTAGAACTTTCCCCACTTCCAATCCTGAATGCTTTCCTTGTCCCCCTCTCATTCACCTGTATGTAGATAGGGACTGTCACTCCCTTTCAGAATCCTCAAAATCTCAGCTTTTGCTCCAAGGGGAATTACCAAAGATGGTCTCTCCTTAAGGTGACTTCTTTCACCAATCACTTTCTCCATCTCCTTTTGTTCATCTGACTTTCCAAAACCTTGTTCCTCACAGTGTGGACCAGCAGCATCAACAGTACTTGGAAGCTTATTAGAAATGCAGAATGTCAGGCCCCAACCCAGACCTGCTGAATCAGAATCTTCATTTTTACAAACTCCCAGGTGATTTGTGTACACATCACACTTGAGAAGCATTGCTCTAGAGAAACTCCCCTAAAACTGTTCTCTACTTGATATATCCTTTTCCCCAACCTCCAAACCTACCTCTGGCTTTCTCATTTTGGCAGCATTCTGCCTCTGTGTTGGTAAAGAGGATACAAAGTATCTGGGCAGCACTCTGATAGTTGTCTCAGCCCCTCCATGCTGTGTTCTTGGATGTATCTCAGTCTTGTCACTCAGTCTCCTCTTCTCTGCCATAGGGAAGAACGTGGGTTCAAGGGCCAGTTCTCTGCCCCTCCTGATGTTGTTCTATCAGACCTCCTGTTCTTGTTTTGAACATGTTTTCTTTCTTCTGCTCAGATCTCTTCATTCTTAGAAGAACTCTTCCATTGGGCCTGCCTCCTTCTTTAATGGCTAAGCCTCTTGAGAAAGTTCACTGGCACATACCATTCTCCAGCAAGCCACTCCTGGTCAGACTCCCTTCCAGTTCACCTGCTGCCGTCTCCTGCTCTTAGATTCTCAGGCCAAACTCTCTGATCTCCATGCAGCTGGTCCACACAGCTGGAAAGCCATCCTGCATGGTGAGAGAAGTTTCTCCCTTCCACTGTGAACACACCTCTAGGCTGCTCTCTTCACCACTCCTTCCCTCAGAGAACTTCCGCTGGACCAGTCTCAGAGGCCATCTTTTGGTAAATTATCTCCATCAACTGGTGAGAACAAAGCGGGGAGCACCTTGCTGGAGTGGGAAGGTCCCCATCACAATGGCTCTGCCTTTGGGCCCCAGGTGGGACTGCTTACCACCGACTGTGTCTGTCCATAGACCTCCTCCTGCTGCCCACCAGGCAGAGAATATTTCTGATACTCTCATCGCCCCGCTGCATAGCCACCTATTTGTCAGGTTTTAGAGATTCTTCTTTACACCCTACCCTTGAAGTCCTGGTGTGGCACTGTGGATTAATGTGCTGGACTGCCAAGTCAGTTTGAACTGCAAAGTCGGCAGTTCAAGCTCACCAGCTGCTCCTTGGAAACCCTATACAGGGTTGCAATGGGTCAGGACCAACATGACAGCAATTTAACAACAACACCCTACGCCAGTCCCCACCCTACTGCCATTGAGTCCATTACAACTCATTGTATATCTATGGGGCAAAGTAGAACTGTTCCTTAGGGGGTTCTAAGACTGTGAATCTTTACAGGAGCAGACAGCCTCATCTTTCTCCCTCAGAGCAGCTGGTGGATAGGAACTGCCAACCTTTTGGTTAGCAACCAAGGTGCTTAACCCATGACACCACCAGGGCTCTTTCCTAGCTCTGTACCTGCAGCTAATATCTTTATCAATGAAACTTTCTTGTCTTCTATAGTTCTCTGCTCTGACTTGGAGGAAAATTCTGCCCCAGTTCTGTCTTCTTGCTATTCTCCTGCCAACAGTTTTTTTTTTTTTTTTTTTTAAGTTTTGCTTGAATTAGGTCATCATCTGCTTAGAAACTTTCAAGTGTCTCTCGTGGCCCCTTCCAAAGAGGAATAGTGCAATTTAGTGACATTTGAGGACCTTTGAAGACTGATCCAAATCTCCCTTCTCAGCATTCCGTCCATTCCCTTGCCATGTGAGTTCCTTGATAATCTGACATGGAAAATCTCATCATTTCCCAAACACAGCTTCTATACTCTTAGCTCCATGCCTTTACTCTGATTTCTACCTCCAGCTGGAATGCCCTTACTTTCAGAATACCTTTCTCCCCTATGAGGCCCTGGAATCTACTTTTCATAATGGTTAAAGTGCTGGTGTGGCATTGTGGGCTAATGTGCTGGACTGCAAGGTCAGTTTGAACTGCATGGTTGACAGTTCAATCTCACCAGCAGCTCCTTAGAAATGACTCAACGGCACTTAACAACAGAAAGTGCTGTGGTGTTGCAAAGCATCATGGAAGACTTTTTCCAAGGTGGATTTAAGAGAGAGGTGCTCAGAATGACCATAAGGACCAAAGGGGGGCAACCCTGAGAAAGTGACATTGAGCAGGAAAAGCCCAGTAAAAGCTGGGAGGAACTTTGGACTTGTGTGGGCTTCTATTCTATTCTAATCAAAGGGAATAGAAGGAAACATACCAGGGTGGTACCGTGTTCAAGGCTTCCCAGGGCTTGCCGCTCTGAAGAGCTCCTGGGTTAGAACCACTGAACATCTTGGCTCAGCCAAGGAGCAAATTTCCTGCAACTTTTTATGTGTGCTCTTATTTTTGTGTTGTTTATCTTTATGTTGTTACGTGCTGTCAAGTTGGTTTCCTAGGAGTGGCTGGTGGGTTTGAACCCCTGACCTTGTAGTTAGCTGTCCAGTGCTTATCCTACAGCCCCACACCAGAATTCCACTTATCTTCATAACTTGGGCCAATTTCGTCTTTCAAACTGCTGCAGCCTCTCCATGAGAAATGAACTTAGGGGCCTGCTGGCTATGGCCACACAGAGCTGGATGAGTGATGGTAGCAGATAGGGGAGATGGAGTCCAAGAGCACATCCGGTCCAACCCTCAGCCCAGAGCCTGGCCTCATCCTTTTCTTTCATGTGCCCATGCTCATTAGCGACCTGGGTGGTAAAGAAGCAGGGACAAGCATAGAAGGAGAGCGAGAGCGTAGCCTGTGTGAGTAGAAGAGTGGCTCAGTGGCATGATCAGCGCATGTGAAACACAACAGAGTGGGTTTGGTGAACTTGCTTTAAGACAGCTTTTAATTTAGCACCTGGAACATCATGCTGGCACCTAGTATGCCATGCTAAGAAGCTTGGGATTTTTCTGTAGGCCTCAGCTTTAAAACCATGTTTTATAATCAGCAAAACTCTTCTGTCATTTTCTTTTCCAAAAGGGGAGCAAAGAGCATAGAAAACATCCAAAGGGGTTGTTGCTTAGGTTGAGGTTGGCTTGACCAGGATGTGTGTTGGACTGTATCGCCCCCTGGAGGTGCCAGGGTGTCAGGCCAGCACTTGACTTTACTATCAAGCCCCTTGATGGGAATTAAAATGTAGAAACAATAAAAATATTAATGCATGCACTAAATGTGGCTATTCATGTAAGTCCCATAAAGGGAGAAAAAGAGGTCTTCTGGTGGGTAGCCCCAGCTCTCAGCCTTCCTTCCTGTTGATTTCTGAGATTTCTCCATTAGCCTCAGGAAAATCCCACACCACAGGTGTCAGTCTTGCTTTAGAACTTGCCTCGTGCCCTGACATCTAGCATGTTTATTCAGTTTTGAATAGTAACACAATGGAAGCCATAATGGTTCACACTCTAGCAGGAGAATCACGTTTCAATCTCCTGAAAGGCCTCAAGGCTGGAGCAAAAAATGGATATGCCCCTTCATCATTTTTGGAGTTTCTCACCTCTTGCAGCCACAATATCAA